TTGAACTCGAACTAAGAAGGATCATGAGACTTAGAAGAATTATTCTCGATATCATGAACAAGAGGGTCTGAGGACATACTGGACTGGATTTGCTTGAGAAAAGTTGAATCAACAGTCAATGTTGATTTCACTGCTCGGAGATGAAATTGCTCCGGTTTCAAGAGGACCGTTCTTTGTTGCTCAAAAGCTGCATCTCCTTCTTTTGGTGCAAAATAAGAACGTCTAGATAGGGCATCGGACAAACCTTGTTGTTTTCCTGGCCGATAAGTGATAATGAAGTCGAATCTTGACAAAGACATACTCCAACGAGCTTGACGACGATTCAACACGCGTGCTGACATGAAATACTCGAGGTTCTTGTGATCTGTATACACAGTGACTGGACTAGAAGCACCTTCTAGATAATGACGCCATTCTTGAAAGGAATCCACGATTGCAAGAAGTTCTTTATCGTGGATCTCATAATTGATCTCGGCTGCTGAGAATTTTCTTGAATGAAAAGCTATCGGATGAAGTTTGTCATCTGTTCCCATTTGTGATAAAACTGCACCCAAGGCAAAATCCGATGCGTCTGTTTCCATAAAAAATGCCTTGGAAAAGTCAACACGATATAAGACTGGTGCAGAGACAAACGATGTCTTCAAGGCTTCAAATGCTACTTCCGCTTCTTGATTCCATTGGAATTTATCTTTACTAGTCAAGCGTGTAAGTGGAGCTGCAACTCGTGAGAAGTCTTTGATGAAGATCCGATAGTAATTGGCAAATCCCAAGAAACATTGGACATCTCTCACAGTCTTTGGAATCTTCCAATCCATGATTGTTTGGACTTTCTTAGAATCCATCATAAGACCATCATTTGAAATGATGTATCCTAAAAAGTCAACTTGAGTAGTGTGAAATACACACTTTTCCATCTTGGCGTATAATCCTGCATCTCTGAGTTTTTGTAATACTTGACGAACATGTATTTCATGTTCTTCAACATTCTTAGAATAAATCAGGATATCGTCTAGGTAGCAGACGACAAAATTGTCTAAGAATTCACGAAATACATCATTCATGAGATGTTGAAAAGCAGCTGGTGCATTCGTGAGTCCAAAAGGCATGACATTATATTCAAAATGCCCGTACCTGGTTCGAAACGCAGTCTTCCATTCATCTCCTTCTTTGATCCGTACTAGATTATATGCTCCTCTTAGATCTATTTTTGTATAGATCTTAGCTTGATTTAACTGGTCAAGGAGTCCTGATATCAAAGGTAATGGATACCTGTTCTTGATTGTGATCTTGTTGAGTCCTCGATAATCAACACACATTCGTAAAGATCCATCTTTTTTCTTTACGAATAAAATTGGAGCTCCTGCTGGAGATTTTGAATGGCGTATGAAATTCTTCGCTAAATTCTCGTCAATATATGTCTTGAGTTCAGCCAACTCATCTTGCGATAAACTGTAAATTGGTCCAAATGGTGGCTGAGTTCCTTCCTTGAGATCGATTGAACAATCGTATGGGCGATGCTCAGGAAGAATATCTGCATTCTTTTTCTCAAAAACGTCTTGATAATCCTGATATTGACTTGGAATGCCACTTGAAGTCTTTACGTTTTCAGAAATAGGTGCAGCATAAATAGCAAAAGTTGATCCTTCTTTTGCTGCGTGTATAAATGCTTTTGCACCTATAGGTGCGAGTTTTACTATACTAGACTCATGGTTTTTTACTTGGTTAATAGAACTGTTACTAATGCTCTGAGGAAAATCAAGTTTACGAGAAATCCAATCTATTCGAGGATTATACTTTTCTAACCATGATAAGCCTAAAATTACTGGATTAGAGGGAGATCTAATTATATTAAAAATTACGCAACTACTATGACCATTTATTACTACATCTACAGGAAGTGTTTCGTGAGTTACATCTCCAGAAGACAACGGACGACCATCTATGACTTCTACGTGTACAGGTTTAGTTTTTTGTATTAATGATATTCTATGACATCTAGCAAATTCTTCATCTAAAAAATAAGATGAGGCTCCTGAATCTACCAAGGCAGAGGCTTTGTAATTATTAGGTCCTAAACGCACATCTATTATAAAACAAGGAGATGGTTCTGAGGAGAGGATAGGACCTTTATTAGAAGTTGTACAAGATTCCAGCTGCACGGTCCCTATTGTAGCTGGACGTACTCGTTTTCCGACATACTGTCTTCTTTGACAGCCGTACTCCTCATTTTGTAGTTACGTCGCTTCTTTGGACAATGTTGAGCAGTGTGCTTAGGTTCTCCACAATATAAGCACAATCCTTCTTGTCGACGACGAGACTTTTCTTGCTCAGTAAGAGGTTTGAAACGTACCGCATCAATTTGCATATCCTCTACTTCTGAAGGTATGTGTTGAGGAGACGTCGGTGTTGCCATTGAATTGTAGTAACGTTGAGGCCCACTTGTGCGACTCTCGGATCGAAATTCAAAAAGTCGATTGTCGCACTTCACAGCAAAGTCAATTGCTTGACTCAATGTTTGAGGATCAGGTAAATTAAGCATCAATTTCTTTACCTCATATTGTAATCCGTAGAGAAATTGACTCACAAGTGCGGCATCATCCCACTTGATATCAGTTGCAAGTTGTCGAAATTGTGAAGCATATAATGTTACTGATCGATTGCCTTGTCGCAAAATACGGATCTTGTTGGTTGCAACACAAATTGCATCATGTTCTCCAAACATGGATCGAAACTCCGCCAAAAAAGCCTCCAGATTATCCAATATTGGATCTCGTCGTTCAAGAAAAGATGAAAACCATGACAATGCTGAACCTGAAAGAAGTGTACCAATGAATCTTACTTGTGACCCTGGAGTTGGATAGCTCTGGGGTTGAAGTTCAATCACTAGTTGGACCTGATTGATGAATCCTCGAAACTTGGATCTGGTACCATCAAACTTCTCGGGCAAGGCAACTCTCGGTTCTCTAACACTCGAAGGGTGTTCCATTCTGGGAGAAGGGACATGGTTTGGTGCAGATGTTGAAGCAGCCCCAATCATCTCTATATCTTCACTTCCTACCATTCTTGTTGCTCCTTGTGGTGGTAAATTGAGTTGATGCATCGCAAGCATTAACTCCCTCAATTGTTCTTGCATCTGTGCCATTGCACTCTTCATTTCAACAAGCTCTGCCATAGTAGCACTTAGAAAAGAGAAGATGTCTAATAACGCTCAAAACAAATAGAAGAGAGGAATTGATAACAAAGAAAATACTAAGAACAATATCATGTTAAAAGAGGGTAATCCGCAACTTCTAATGCGCTTATGTCTTATCAAGAAAAAGGGGTAATCCACTCTTAATCAAGAAAAGACAAAGCTCTGATATTGTAAGTGTACTCTTGTCAATCTGTCAAGGACAAGAACTCGATGAAAGCTAAAGAGTAAGTGAGACTTTTCTCAAAAAGAAATAGGACAAAATAGAAATATGTATATTAAGAAAGAAACTGGAATGGCTATTGCCAAAATACAAGAAAACTAGAGACCCTTGAAACTAGACTAGAAGCAAGAAAGGAGTTGACAAGAGTGAAGAGGGCTTCACTCTTGCCTCTATATATACTATCTAACTAGAAGCCACGTGGCGATGTTCTATAAGACCTCCAATATATGTTGACTTTCTAGGCCACATGCCTTTGCTTGCAAGGCAAGTTTTCTATGGATGGACCACGTAGTTAGCTTGTTCTTTAAGCTTCTAACATGCGTGGCACATGGCTAACTTGTTGACCAAGTTTCTAACCTAAAAGTCAACTATAGACTCCTATAAAGTCAAAGCAGCGTCTATGAAGCTTCTAAGAAGCTTCTCTAGAAGATATTACACAATTAACCTACTTTTACATACTTTTATCTATTCATATAGGTAATTATATGTATGTCCGTGACAGCCAATGAGAAGATACTTTTATCTTGGCTAATGAGAAGGTTTTTTCTTTTCTTTTCTTTTCTTTTCTTTTAAGCTTCCTTAAGTGTTTTACTAACAAACAATAGCAAAATTGCATGTTGTTGGGGCATAAAAAACATTTGAACACAAAATAAGACAATATATGTGAAAAGACTACATATAATTTAACATTGTGAAAGGACTAGATATAATTTAACTTTGTGAAAGGACCACATATAATATATTATTATGAATGAGTAACATGGTAATAACTATTTTGATACAAAATTAGGCAACATACAATGAGAAAGGGATAACATTTATGAAAAGACAACGTATATTTTTACATCGTGAAAAGGCAACATCTACTACTATGTGCCACGTAGGATGCGTGTCCCTTCGTCCCTAACGGGTCGGGAAATTCGAACTGGGGAACCTGCCCGCCATCGCCATCGCCACAGCGTCGGCATGGCGAGGCGGGCGTGAGCTTTTTCGCACCGACGAGCGTCTTCGCTTTGAATTCTCGCTTCCAACGTCTCGTCTGTGCGTGGCATCCCTCCGATTCAATGCGCACAAGAGCTCAAGCGCGAAGTCACTATGAGGGCTCCCTTGAAGGATTGGGTGCAGTCGCCCGGTTATGCTCTGTTGCTCACGCCGAACGACGATGAGGAGGAGGTGCGTACACAGGTCCGTAGAGCCAGAGCAGCAGCAGCGCTACGTCGGAAGTCCCGCATCGGCGGTGACATCTAGGCGGATTTCTTCTCTGTTGCCGCACCAGAAGAGTCCAATGTGATTACTCGGGAGCGTATCCTGGAGCTCCACAGCAATTGTATCAAGCTCGCCGTGGAGAATGTGTGCTTAAAAGGAGATAATTGAGAGTACCCAGCAAGGCGATCCTCTACTGGTGAATGCAACTGCTCAAGCACAATGTAACTGCCCTCGTTTTTAGCTGCATCCCCTTGAATCTGGAAGCAGAAAACTTCCACGGGGTGCAATCAGAGTGAGTTACAATAACACAACCGTCGCTTTGATGAATGTAACAGCTTCAGATCTCACTGGCTCCAGTTTCTGGGACTATATATGCACATATATTCATATAAATATGAATGAGAGCGAGAAAAGAAATTTATACGGCTGGAGTGTTGTGGTCATCAGTACGGTGAGGAGATTAAAAGAGGTGAGTCTCGACCGTCTGCAGCTTGTCAGGCATTCCCTTTTTGATCGGCTGCTAGTGCGTGAGTCGCCATCTTCAGCCTGGAGCTGTGCTTAAAATTTCTGACCTCGATCTTTGCGCCGCATTGCATAAAGTTCAGGCTAAAGTTACTGGCTCCAGTTTTTGTTTCCGAAATTCAGGCAAAAGTTGTTTCATAGAGCACTTCCGTAATTCACCATGAGAGAATGCCTTTCAATCCATGTTGGTCAGGCCGGCATTCAGATCGGCAACGCGTGCTGGGAGCTTTTTTGTCTTGAGCATGGTATCCAGGTCTGCAACTAGTGCTACTAATTCTGTCAAGCGATGCCATGTTTTTAATGGTTTGATTCATTTGAGTCCTTGAGCATGTGTTAAAGATTGAACTTGTTTGTAGAGGTTCGAAAGGTGACGGGAATTTAAATTGTGTGTGTACATTGTATAGCCGGATGGGCAAATGCCGAGTGACAAGACAGTGGGAGGAGGAGACGATGCCTTCAACACATTCTTCAGCGAAACAGGAGCGGGAAAGCATGTGCCCAGATGTGTGATGCTGGACTTGGAGCCCACTGTGATTGACGAAGTTCGCACAGGCACGTACCGCCAGCTCTTCCACCCCGAGCAGCTCATTAGCGGAAAGGAAGACGCCGCCAACAACTTTGCTCGTGGACACTATACAAGTATGATTCTGCCACATTTGTATTTCCTTTCGACAATCAAGTTAACTCAATTTACAGAATACGGAGTTTAATCACAGTGCCGACTGAGCTACCTTGAAGATTGTTACAATTTGTTCAACCGAACTCGTATATATGAACTCTCGGTTATGCAGTTGGCAAGGAGATTGTGGATTTGGCACTGGACAGGATCCGAAAGCTGGCAGACATGTGCACTGGTCTGCAGGGATTCATGGTGTACCACGCAGTCGGTGGCGGCACAGGCTCAGGCCTCGGGTCATTGCTTTTGGAGAGGCTGTCTGTGGACTATGGCAAAAAGTCCAAGCTTTCCATGTGCGTCTTCCCGAGTCCGCAAGTGTCAGGCGCCGTAGTGGAGCCCTACAACAGCATTTTATCATGTCATGGCCTCTTGGAGCACACGGAAGTATCCGTGATGTACGACAACGAGGCCATCTACGATATATGCCGGCGGAACCTGGACATTGAGCGACCCACTTACACCAACCTGAACAGGCTCATCACGCAGGTGATGTCGTCATTGACCGCCTCGTTGCGATTCGACGGAGCCCTGAACATGGATCTCACCAACTTCCAGACCAACCTCGTCCCGTATCCAAGGATCCATTTCATGCTCTCGTCTTACGCGCCGGTCATCTCGGCCGAGAAAGCCTACCACGAGCAGCTATCCGTGTCGGAGCTCACCAACAGCGTGTTTGAGCCCTCCAGCATGATGGCCAAATGCGATCCCAGGCACGGCAAGTACATCGCCTGCGCGATGATGTACCGAGGGGACGTGGTGCCAAAAGATGTGAACTCGTCCGTGGGCACCATCAAAACCAAGAGGACCATCCAATTCGTGGATTGGTGTCCCACCGGGTTCAAGGTGGGGATCAACTACCAACCGCCGACAGTCGTGCCCGGTGGCGATCTAGCGAAAGTGCAGCGCGCGGTTTGCATGATCGCCAATAGCACCGCCATCGCTGAGGTATTCGCTCGATTAGACCACAAATTCGACTTGATGTATGCAAAGCGCGCGTTCGTGCACTGGTATGTCGGTGAGGGCATGGAAGAGGGGGAATTCTCCGAGGCTCGTGAGGATTTGGCGGCGTTGGAGAAGGATTTTGAGGAGGTGGGTGCCGATTCAACCGAGGGTGATGGAGAGGACGAAGGAGAAGAGTATTAGATTTCGATCAGACACTAAAACATACATACCACTCACGGTTTCGATCATGCAGCAAACCCTCACTTTTGAAAGTACCGACTCATTCAACACAACACACTGCCACTTTCATGCAAATTCGTAGCAAGATTCGTGACACTGCTGTTTTGGGAGACCTGAGATGCTTTATGGGAACATTACACTTTCAACTTTGGTTCGATTGTTGTAATGGGATTGTGCTCATCGGCAGCGTGACACTGCTCCATTGTTGTGGAGATCACTATTTTATCAGGAAGATGAGCACATTCTCATCTGTTTAGGTTTTTGTTTTGATAACTTGGTCTGGTCGATGTGATGGTGAATTGTCAACTATTCCTTCAGATGAATGCCATTGCCTTGCACTGAATAACACATCCGAAGAACTACTCTCACCCTGAGCATGAATACAGCTTTCTTCATTAGATTTTACCTCATTTGCTGCTGAACACTTTTATGCTTATCCATCCATCAATTTGCATGGTTTAGTTTGTGGGAGGAAATCGTTTAAGCATATCATCTTCGAAACTATAAAACCAATATGTCAGAGAGCAACTAAGAATGGAAATGGATCAAAGAATGTATTTTTTTGAGTTTAAAAATCATATAAGCAAGTTCCACATTAGTTCTTTTCATTTGTGTTTGACTTGTGGCTAATATCAAATTTATACTGTAAAGTAAAGATTCTCTATAATATCTATGCAGTAGTCTGGATGTAGCTTTGTTATTCTTTATTTATTTATTTATTTCTATTAGGAATAAAAATAATTAATGCACTTACACAATATAAATTATTAAGATATGCATCAAAAGTAATAATTTTTATTTAATTAAATGATTTTTTATTTCTCTTAAAATAAAAATAAAAATAAATTTAATTTATGGAAGACCAAAGCTTACCTTTATTGTACTTATTGTTTGAAATTTAAACTCTTTAAATGTGGATGTAAAAGATGAAAAGATTGTAGAAGTAATAAATTGTCAAAAGAAATTGTAATTGTAAACATGGTTATAACTAACAACCTATATTTTTATTTTTTATTTTTTTCCAAATGGTTTCAAATTTTTTTCAATATTTAAAGAAAAAAGTATTAGGGGTTTATAAAAGCTTTATCATGTATTGGTAGATATATTAAAAATACAGGGAAAGTGTTTTTTAAAAAATACATTGTTATTGTCTGATAAAAATTAATAAAAGTTTATACAGTGTTACTATCTTTGTTTCTGAAGGTTGGATGATTAACCTACTTGTTTAATATTTCGTAAAAGAAATGAATAGAAAGAAGTTTGAAAATTAGTCAAAATACATTCACATAAGAAATCACACAATGTAGTTTTACATTAATAGATTTTAAGACTGCACCACTATCCATTACCTTTAATTTATAGTTTGACCAGTAGAAAAAAATCATGTCATACACAATATGTTTTTATTGTTGTTCTCACACAACCTCTAAAGGGTATACAAAATTTCTACCTTGCATTGGGCATCCCACATTAAATCTACAATTTGTAACACCACAACCTATGGTTACACCCTTCCACGACCTTATTGCAACCTGACTAGTAAACATGCACAATGTACCTCTATTTAATTCTAAACCTTTCACTAACTCATGCAGTAGTTTACCTGACTACAACTTGAAGTGCACTGCAATCTTTGTCAATGATCGGAAGGAATACTGTATTAATTTGTTTTGCCATTTATTAAATTTAAATCTTTAACATTTTCATGTCCTACTTCAGAATTCGGTTCATATTTTATGGTCTGTGTAAACGTAGTTCATTCGAGCAATGTAAGTGTTGCCGGAGTTTCAGGAGGAAGAAAATTGATGTAGTACACATGTAGGCAGACTATATCTGTAGTACACATGTGCAAGGTGCGTTAAATTTTTTTGACAGCGATACAGTTCACTGAGATTGTTTTAAACGCTTCTTTTACTTAACATCTTGATAAAATACATTTTCTTCCTTTCAAACAGGTGAAAGATAACTCGCAGATAGGGGCACAAGTTGCTTCATTTACTAGTGTTTATTAATGAACATGCACAAATTGAGAGAGGGAATATTTTATAGGGGTGATTAAGAAGACGCTTTCTCATACAGGATTCTCAAGGGTATACAAAGACGAAACTGTTGCCTATAAACTAAGAAAATCTACATTCAATCAATTATTTCATTACTGTAAACATCAAAAATGAAAAGTACAAAGATCATAAAAAAGCTGATCGCTAGAGGGCTCAAGAGTTGCAACAAAGAGCATGATACTGGTGATTTTACTATCCCATAAAATATGGGAGCGGAATCAGAAGTACATATTGTACTCATCACAGGTCACCATGGCCTGCAAAGCAAACACTCCAGGCAACCCGGATGTATCTAGTAATCCTTTGTATGGAGCCCAAGGAATGATTAACCTTCTGTGCATCAGGCAAGGTCATCACTAGAGTACAGGAATATGGAATTGGAGAAAGCTAACTAAACTACAAAACCAGTTATCATAAGCTGGCAGAACTAGCTCGTGTTAACTAACCGGAGCTGTGGACTCTATTGCCCAAAGATCTTTCCACTCAAGATCTTAACGCAAAGATCAGTGCAACATCGACCAGAAAACCGCATAAAAAGATGATAGTAGAAAATCTCTCTGAGCTAGTTACTTCACTTAAAAGGTGGAAGCAACTAGAGGGAAATCTAAGTGTATGTTACTAAAGAACCTAAACCCTAATAAATAATTTTCATGTGTAGGAATATGATCAGTAAAACAAAATTGCAGATCAGAGTACAGGAAGAGAAAACTACTGATCAGCCATGCTACCTGGCGAGAATGAGGGGGTTGTTCCATGCATTGAATGACATACGCGGTGACTTATTCGATAAGTTCAACTGATCGATTTGAACACCCAATGATTGAAGAGTATCCCGGAGCTGTTGCACTCGGCATGGATACTGTATGATTGCATCCAATCCGGCAGACATATCTTTCTGCATCGACTCTTGAGATCTGTACGAAAGAGCCAGTCAATGTGTCAGTCTCAGAATTCCTTAAAACTACGAAGAAGTACTATGTAAAATATTGCAGAAGTGGCATTCCAAGGAATGATTTCGTTGAATAAGATTGTACCTGTCGAAATTCGTAACAGCAAGGATTATTGCTTGGTTTGAAACATTTACGCTGCCACAATGGGATTCCATGGTACGAAGTTGTCGAATGAGAGCGTAATCTTCCCCCCGTGCACTGTCGAGGTTAGTGAACACAACGGAGAAGCCTTCTGGGTCATGCATACTCTGCTCGAAAGAGTACAATGCTTCAGTATTATTGCTAGCACAGAATACTTCAAAGCCAAAGCGCTCTAGCATGAGACCGAGGGACTTGCGGCCTCGGACGTTGGGATCGACCACCATTGCCCTTGCTTGAGTGAAGCTGCTGCCTCCCAGGCTGTTTCCGACGTCACGAAGATTTTCCGAGCTCTGCTCACTTTTGCACCAATCTTGTGAACAGATAGATGATCCCTCAACTTCTTGGGAGTAGGATGAGTCATCGGCCTCGAATGATGTAGTCGCTTGATCGCAATAGATGTCCATAGTATCCCTCACGGACCCATCGAAGTAGGGAGATGGAGGATGCTCTAGTGCAGCCAAAAAGAGGTCTTCAGTACCCCGTGGGCTGCCATACCTATTGGGAAGCTCCTCTTCCAAATCTAGGATGCTCATATGGTCCATGGCGCTGACAGTGCAATTGAGACTCAAGGCAGGTTGATCCAATTTAGGGGGACTTAAAGGCATGATAACACAGACAGCCCCACATACATCACCCATGCCGTCTCTACGAGCGCTTGCCGAGAGCACTGTCTTGATTTCCTTTCTCCACTTATTATTCAGGCTCCAGATCTCATGAATTGTTTCATGACCCTCCAACGCGGCTCTCAAAGACTCCTCGCAGTCCCTGAAAAACGATAAAGTCGACACTGTCAGGATTCAGGAAGATGTAGACTTTGCGAGATCAGTTCGGGACACGAAACTAGGAAGCCTACAAGATCATAACAAAGATTAAACAGAGTAAAATCATGGAAATTCTGACCAAGGTACCCACCGATTATTGAACAAGGAGGACGTGAACCTCGGCATTGCAAACACCTCAGATTCCGTCCAGCCAGTAACTTCTGCAGCACGACTGTAAAAATACAGCAGAAAAGCAGTAGCCGTCAGCATGTGAGTCCGAGATTGCAAGAAGTACAACTTAAGAATCTGAGTCACTCAGAACTGCAATCCCTTACAGAATGCTATCGACCGGCTCAGGGATGAGCATTCTTAGCATCGCCACATACACCGATACCATGCGAAAGCATTCTTCAAGAAAAACATATTAGTGTTACAGAAACAGTCGTTCACGATAAGACGTGTACAGCCGCTGCCACTGCAACCCCCCTCCGCTTTCGAAAGTGGGTTGATGCAACATTGAATTTCTTGAGAACCCACAAAATACAGTCTAAATCTAAGATTTCGCTGCAACAAATGACGAAGTCACCATCGACCAACTCGAAGTACTTAAGCTGCGTCCCTCTTCTCTTCTAGAATTTAGCGATTCTAACGTTCGAATTCTTCGACCACAGCCACTGCAGTGTAAATGGTAACATCAACTTCACTGAAGGAAAGGCAAAGATCCAATGATCCTAATGAGTGAAGAAAATAAGCCCTTTAAAGAAATTTTGAATTGCAATTCTACCCTGCAAAAACCTTGACCAACAACGATGACCGTGGTTGCTCTCGTGGCAACATGGGACAGAGACGACGAAAAGGCGGGGTGCGCGGAACCTCAGCGGCTCACCTGTTCCAGAAGGTGCATCGCATGTTCATGTCGACTCCAAACGTGGGCACAGGGAGCTCATCGGCGTGCACAAGCGCATCATTCTGATCCGACACCCTCTTAGCACACCCGGCATGCGGCGAGCCTGTGAGCTCCGCCACAAAGTTAATAGCAGCACGCTTGTGATCATTCTCTGGGCCTCCAAACATACTGCTCAGGTCGCTGGCCTTCCTCTGCCCGGTTTCCAGAAACATTTTGAACAACCTTAACTCCGAATCAGAACTAAAACGATTCCGAGCTCAACAACGACAACAACAGAGACGCGACGAAACTAAGTTCCTTCTCTCCCTCGCTTACATTCACTTGCTCTGACAAACACCAACTACATAACGGAACAAAGCTACCAGCAGGAATTCTCCGCAACCCCAAATACATCGGTCTTGAGACGCGATAGTGCGAGATGCAGGCGCGGGGAAAGTATCTATGTATGCGCGCCATGCAATGCGGGGCCCACACAAAGTGTGGGCGAGGCGCACACACAGGTCGCAAAACAACAACCCTCCCCGTAGGTAGGCACTGTAGCCGGGGCAGCCCGGGCCTAGACAAACGCTCTGAGGACTCCGCCCTCCCATTCGACTGCCCTGCCCGTAAAACAAAATACATGTTTGTCTACTTTTAGATTCTATTGCATGAGCGATCTACTTTTGCTTTTTGGAATGGTCGTTAATTCTGATTCACTATTTCAAGTGGCGTCCGTCAACTGATAACGATCATGGATGAAATGAAATATAATTTGTTCATCCATATTTTCATTCAATTACACATATTTAAGGTTAAATGGGTAGATTGTTCGAAGCCTAGAACAATGCCCCAGGATAGGACGCTATGAAATCATGGACCCAGGTGGCCACATACCCAATAAAAAATATATACTATTATATTATTGGTGAGAGCAAGCAGAGTGTGTACAAGGCTTCCATGCTGGCAGTTAGAGGTAACGCATATCCATGAAGCCCTAGTTTCCTCGCACGCCGTGCCGACGCGGCAGTCGCCGCTGGATCCCCTGTGGACTTGACTGTACGATAACGGGGCCCACTTGCTTGGGGGGACATGAAAACGGCCCGAGATCATGTGCAAATGCTGCGCCAGAACATGCTTAGCTGGCAAAGGGATCTGGCATCTGGGGCCCATATCCGGGGGGCCTAGCACGTTCCGTTGCGGAGACTGCTTTGCAGGGTGGGGATTTTGAAGGGCCAGGGCCAAGGAGAAAAATATCTCCCTCTCTCTCAGTTGCTCTCACGGGCGCTTTTTTACTTTATTTTTACTTTTTACTTTTTACTTTAACCTTTACATCTACCGTATGAAAGGAGATTGCAGGTTGTTGAAGAATAATAGACATGAAAGATCTTCATGTTCTTTTTGACAAATTTAAAAAAAGGAGGAGTGTTGGAGTTGAATATCTTGATGCTTTTAGCAATTTCCATGAGATTTTTCGCTGTGCACGTGGATATCTTTTTCAAAGATAGCAAAAAAAACCACACGTCCTCAGCAGAGTATGGAACTGACTTCTCTCTCTCTCTCTCTCTCTCTCTCTCATTCTCGTTCTTTTTCTACCTTGTGCTCTCATGCTAAGCTGCTTCCATGTCTGTCTTCAAGAGCAGGGTGGTGATGGGGCTCTGAAGGCCTGCTTGGCTTTGCACAACTTTGTACAAACAGAACCCACCCATTATTATCTTGCCTCTGACAAACTGGATGGTCACTGGGCTTGAGCTGGATGGATGGATGATGGGTCCTCCTTGTCCCCCACCCCCTTTGTGCTCCATCATTGGCAAGGTATAGAGCCCTTCCCACAGTCATTCATTCATCAACACATCTATCCATCCGTTGTCACTATCCTGATGAAGTAAGGACCAGGAAAAAACCCGCACTATCACTGCTGCTGATGCTGAGGGCAGTGAGACAGAAGGGAGAGACATGGAAGGAACAGGGGACACTCACACAATGGGAGGCATGCCCATAATGGACAGTCTAAGCTTGGCCCCTACTACAACTCTACTACAACTGCCCCCTCCCCCCACATGGGTTGCTCCAGCCTCTAAAGAAAGAGGAAGAAAAAAATTAAAATAAAAACAAAATAAAACAAACGCACACACACTCTCTAAAGGAAAAGGTGGGGCTGGAGGTGAGGCGGAAAAGCATTAGCCAATGGAACATTGAGATTAGATTGCCTGCCATCCCATCCTCCCACAACTCAAAGCCAATAGCCAAAGCAGTGCCAAAGCCAATCCAAGGCAAGTTGAGGCCCAAGAGGTCTTGAGGTGGTGCTCTGCAAGACTGACTGGCTGAGTGGCAATCCAATTGGCCCACTAGCACTAGTTACTCTCTCTGCCTTTGAGCCAAGTCCAGGGTGCTCATTCTCATTCCTATTGGACCCCACCTCAAGCTAGACTTGCTCACTCACACCCCCACAAAAATATCTCTCTCTTCCCTAACTAAATCCTTCTCCCCTTGAGCCCCACACATTGCTTGACAGAATGCTTTTGGGTAGTAGATGTATTAATTCATGTTGTCCTCGATGCCAGCAATGCCATCACAGCTGTTGCTAGAATTCAACTCCCCATCTTTTTTTTGTTGGCTTTTTTGCTTGATTCACAATTTGCAGGTGCCTATATTGCATACACTATTATTTTACATTTTTTCTGAAAGTCTAAGCAATTGGGTGTGAAAATGCAATGATGCTTCAAATGATGACTCTGAGGATAATAGTCATAAACAATAGTTTTTTTTTGTATTTTTAAAATGATTCTGCTATTTTTAAAAATTAATTGCATTTTTTTTTTTTTTTTTTTTTTTTTGTGTGTGTGTGTGTGTGCTTCTAGATGTCTAGTAATTGATCGAGTTATGATTTTTTTTTGTTGTATGTCACAAAAACTTGTCTTCACATGCAAAGTGGAAAAATATTTTAAATTGAAAATACGCTTGTTCATGGTTTATGCTTTGTGCTAAACAATTTATAATTGAAAAATATACTGGATTTTCAAAGTGCTGATTGTCTCATTTTGAACATAGATATTCTGTTTCTATCCTTCTTTCATTTTCTTAGAAAAGAAAAAGAAAAAGAAAAACTGTGTAGGGTTATGCTATTAACTTTTTAACTTTATTCTGAAATATTCATTGTCTGATTCATTCCTAAACATTCAAATCATTGAGTAATGTATGTCATGCATCTATTATAATTTACTGTGTGCAGAATCCATATTCATCACTCAAGGAAATTCTCATTTATTTGAACTCATTATAACTAATGTTTTTAAAGATATAATGTTTGAAAATTGTATCAAAATACACAACAAAAAGAATGTCACGTTATTCATTTACATTCAATTATTGTAAAATTTTATTTGAGAAGTCAGACTAAATTTATTACCCATTTTAAATTAAAATTTCTTAAATCTTTCGAAAAATCATTTTATAAATGACCACTAAATACAATCTTACACTACAATCCACCCTCAAAATACATTTTTCCCCTTTGAAACAAATCAATGACTATACCCTGAAACTCAGTATTCCTGTGATCAATTAATCCTTCTTTCTAATTCACTCACTTGTTCTCTTCTTCTTCTTTTTTTTCTTTTTTTTTCTTCTTAATTACAATCATTAATCATAACAGTATAATTATTATAATTGTTTCCACAACATTAGTATGAATTGAAATAGTGTGTGCATGATTTCTAAAAGGGTGGAAGGAAAGAGGGGAATATGCAAATGCATATCTATTCTATGCTATTCCATTGTATTATATTTATTTGTTTGTTTAGTTAATTGATTGATGTGGGAGGATTCAACAATGTTGAGAGAGAGAGAGAGAGAGAGGTGTGCTGTTACTGCTGATATTGGGAGGAGGTGCAGTTGGTGTTGCAACTCAACTCATCAACTCATTTCTACTTATACTTTATTCCAGCAGCCCTGGTGTGAAGCTGCTTGTATTCCCTTGGTCTTGGATGTGATGGATGGTGACCCAACTCTACACTCACTCATGTTCCTTCCCAACCAGCACTCAGCACGGAAAACAACAAATAAATAACCAAATAAGGGGAAAAAGAAAAGCAAATGGGGGGGATGTGATTGTGTGTGTGTGTGTGTGTGGTTTGGTTGCTCTAAGTACTGAACCACAGACAAAAAACAAAAAAATCAATGAAATAAGAATCTTGAAAATCTGTAAGTAATAACAATGCATATGCACAATATTAACAACAATAATATTAAATGATTGTTTTCTTCCCAATGGCACAGGAAGTAAGGGAAAGGGATAGAGACAAGACAGATGGAATGAGGGGGAAATTCTTTTGTTGTTGTTGTTGTTATTATTATTATTACTACTACTGCTGCTACTACTACCTCCCACCCACCCAGCATGGCCCTGACATCATGAACAAGAGCTGACTAGGACCCCACCCCACTCTGACCTTGACCCCCACCCTCACCCTCCCTCATGAATTGTGCTCCTCCTTCTCAGCCCCACTTGCATCCCATATCATTCGTTGGCCACATTCCCCTGCACATACATGCACAGTGAGGGAGGGAAGGAGGGAGTGGAATTCTTAAAGAACATGAAGGAGGAGTTTAGTGTGGGGATTTCTTTTGTTTGAAAGAGGAAACAAGTTACCCTTTTCAAACAAACAAGAGTCATGCAGGAATAAAAGAAAAAAAGAAAAAAGAAAAAAGAAAGGAAATAAAAAAAGAAAGCAGAAAAAAAGGAGGCACTAACAGCACAGAAGAAGATGAAGAAGAAGAAAAAGAGGATAAGAGCAAAGGAGATGCCATCTCTGTGTATCTGCCCCTCACTGAACTTGGTCACACCGACTGAGACCAGGACAGGAAGAAGAATGTGCAACCCCACCAGTTCTGTTTTAGTTTATTTTTGTTTTTTATTCTGTTGAAACCAAAGCAGGTGAACTCCTCTGGGAGTGATAGAAAGACGTACAATCAAGCACAGAAAGTGTGTGACAGGTTTCAATAACAATTTCTATGACAACACAGAGCCAGGGGGGATGTTCATAGGATATATATGTCGCCCCTCTTTACAGTTACCTAATACTAAGCAAGCAGATTGTGTTGTGAAGAAATTCTGCTTTTGCTAGTTGGGTGTGTACCCCTCCAGCACTTCTTTTATTTATCTTTTTAATTATTTCCAACTATGGAGTGAAGATCTTCTTTAGTGAAAAAAAAAAAAAAAAAAAAAAAAAAAAAACTAAACTAAACTAAACTAAACTAAATCAAGCACAAGATTGGATCTATGGCAATCAGAGGCATGTGCTGAAGTTCAAAATCCATAATTTCTTAAATGGACTTGTTAGGGAGGTGTTTAGCAAATATGATGTTTTAGAACTTGAGGTTTGTACAATGACTTTTCTAAGTGTGTGAAGATTGAGCCAATTGAGTAAGAATGAATATCAGGTCCACTT